TCCAAGAGTCCTTTTTTTAAATCAGTCATACTTGTGCAAAAGCAACTTTGGGAGAAATAATCAGCAAAAGATTGCTTATCCTTTGCTACATTCAGAAGTTAGTTCAAAGTAACCAACCCTTGGTAAAAGATAAACTACTTTATGCAAATACTTTTGCAAAGGCTCTCTATTAATGCAAATATTATGTTTGTCTTTTATTTTAATGCAAATAGCATCTGTTATGCACAGTCCCTGCCACTGCTTTGTAGTTTGTATTGAGACTTAAACTGAGTTCCAGCTGCTTGCTAGTGTGGAGCAGATTTCCAGACAGGCAGAGGACATACAGCAGCTCTCGGAAGAGAAAAGCAAGCAAGTTCCCTGGGCTTCCGGGACAAGGATTCTCTTTCAAGGCAGGAGAAAAATGAAACCAAGAATTAATTTCAGAATTTATTTTTGCAGAGGTTTGGTTTTATGTGTGAAATTTTTCTTTGTTAACAGTTTTGACTTGGGAGAAAATTAGAATTGCTTTTCATAAATTTCTTTACATGGAAAATCTATTTGGAAGAACAATGCAGGTTAAAAGGAAAAATTAGGTGGGAGGGGTGAGGGGGCACCTGCCAGCACCAAAGCTGGCTTGCTCCTTCAGGAAGCCTGGTCCCCAGTCAATCACATTCTCCCCTTAGAATATGGCAACCTGAAGTTCCCCTGCAAACACAGAACTCCCAAGGCCACTGCACTAATAACTTTTCTGCCTCTGACTCTAGATCGAGAGCTCCAAATAGGGACAAATCTTGTTGGTATTTATATCTGTGATTCTGGAACAACAGAGTATTTCAGCAGTGAAGACTGGATGGGTGGGTGGGTGGATAAATCAAGCTATATATGGGGAAACAGATGAGAAAAAAATTGCCCTGAGGGTCTTCTGATTTCAAATATATTTCAGTTCAAAATCTCTACTCACCAAGAGTACCAGGAAACTCTCTGAGCTCAAAACACTAAGAATACTAACACTATAGTCCATTTCTAAGTAATGCAGACACAGCAGAGCATGGGTTCCCATGGGCAAGGTCATGAACAAAGAAGAGGGTACGTGCGTACTGTTAAATGTGCCTCAATATAAAGTACCCACTTTCACATAGACTTGCTGTTAAAAGAATTCTTCCTGTAAATAACAGGCTAAGCATTCTAATAAATGCACTAACAATTTGCTTACCTATTAATTTCATTCTCAACTAATTTTACCACAAATGCTGCTGACCATCTCATGCTATTCTCCTCTTCATCTAATCCATGTGAAAAGAATTTTGTTTTGGACAAATTATTCTCAGAAGAGCATTATTTAATGGATGAACATGACCTCTTCAAAAAAACACAAAATCAAGTGCAATATAAAGATACCTTATTACAGTGAACAATCAGAGAGCTGGACAAACATCAAAACATCTCCACAAAAGCATTAGCAAATTAACAAAACAGCAAGAATCTCAGAACCAGACAAGGCTGGGGTGCTTGCCTAGCATCTGGGGCCAAATTTTCACTGAGGATCATTTGCAGGGCCCACAGCTATCTCTCTTGAACCTTCAATGCTTCAGACCATTCCTGCACACAGGAGATTTGGGAGTAGAAATGTAGAAATCTAGGAACTGGAAGGAGGGGGTAAAGAAGAAAATGCAGTGAATCGTTTTAATTTAAAGAAATCCCTAGGAATAAAAGGGACTCCAAAGTAACTGGACCCTGGAGGACTACAGCTCTGCTCATCAACACTGCAATCCCTGAATGCAGGTGGTGATAAAGAGCACATGCCCCAAGTGCCAGGCAGAAACAACTTTCCATCTACTCTGGAGGAAGAAGCCATTGTCCTATACCTCAAATATCCCACAGACTTTGCAGATGACATCACACACACACCCCAGGCATAGAAAGGCCAATCCAATGGGAAAAAAGGACCCTGAGATACTGCAGGTGACTTCATTACTGTAGCCAACTGTGATGGATTATCATAGCAGTATCTCATCATCCATCAACAACAGCTTCAAAGTAGGACAGTCGATGATATTCTAGTAGTAATAAAAAGGTGAACGCAATTTAGGGTTCTGTGGTAGATAGTATAAGGCACACATATTCGAAGAACAAAGAGGCTGGTGGAGTGAATAAAGTGGTACAGCACCTACATAGCAACATGAGGCCCTGAGTTCAAATCCCACTGCCACGGGGCGGGGCGGGGGAGGTGGAAGATTTTTATGTTTAAGAAGATAAAGGTTGAGAACTGGAAAACCTGAAAAAGAATTCTGTAACTACGGTGAATCAGTGAGTCGGAAGACTGGCCAGGAGAAAAACGTCCAAAATGACCCCAAAGGCCAGGGAAGAATAGACAGGACAAAGGGAGACTCCGCATGATGACGTAAGTCGTCTCAGACACAGAGGAGAGAGACTGAAAGGGCAACGGCCTTCCAGATCTTCCAAAGTTGAAGGACAACAAAATCACTGAAAACCAAAAAAGGCCTTGGAAGTAAGAGGGACTGATTAGCCTTGGAAGGCAACATAGAACGACTGGAGATTTCCCAACAGCCTTGCAAACCAGAAAGCAGTGAAATGGTACCTTTCAAAGTGCAGAAAGCTTGCTTGAAAGTTCTGAACGATCGCAATGGTCAAACTAGAATCTTATAACCAGCATGACATTCTTCACACTTGAAATAAAGTGAAATAAAGATGTTTTTCAACAAAAACAGATACTTTTCACCTAAAGACATTTTCACAATTATTCTAAGATGGAATACTGAAAATAAAGACCAATATAAAAAGACAATAAAAAGGGTCTAAATGTGTAGATAATGGAAATGAATATTGACTTTATAGAAACATTTTAGTTAAAATATATTAAACAATGGCACAAAAGAGCAAGCCCATAGCAAGAAAGCAGGAAAACAACCACACAAGGGATGGTGCTAATGTGAACAAACTAAGGCTCTAGTTAAAAGCAAAGCTTGCCAGACTTCATAGCAAAGTATAAAACACAAAACCTAACTCAAACATAAGCGTGCATATAAACAAGTATACATGCAAAACATTTGGAAAAACGATGTTGTAAATAAATGAGCGAAGCAGAGTTAGAACAGCAATATTAATGTCAGCAAAGTAGACTTCTTACTAAAAGACCCTGATTCTCAACTTTGAGGGCATATCACTACAAACTTTTTTGGTCACCATGTAATTAAGTGAAAATTCAGTAACAAGAGCATGGAAACTCCTACATGTTTGAAAATACACTTAGAAACAACAATACCGCTGTCATCAGAATAACCCAAACAACAAAAAATGCTCTGGCCCAAAATATCACAGGTACTAAACTGAAGAATCACTGCTGTGTCTCCTCCCATTGTAGAAAGACTAACAGAAGAATCTTAAGAAAATCTCAGTGCAAATGCTGATGAAATAGAAGTTAATAGAAAATACAACTTCCACAGAAGTCCTCAGAAGACTTATGGCTTGAAGGAATGTAATGTGATTTAAATCTGCCCACAAAGAAGACTCAAGACCTAGATGACTTCATGGGAAAGTCCAAAGAGCTCTCAATTCAGATTTAACCCCACTTTTATATAAAGTCGTTTAGGATTATAAAAACAGAAACTGTCCTCAACTTTTTTCATGAGCCAGCATTTCCTTTAATCAAAAATTGGCAACAAGGTGGTGGCAGGAGGATCATCGTTTCAGTGCCAGCCTGGACAGAGGTAGCCACACCCTGTTTCACAATCAAAATGAGAACCACCAATAGAACAAGCTAATCTGATCAAAGTACAATATATGCATTATGAAACTTCTCAGTGAAAACTCCTTTGTACAATTAATGACACTAATTGAAAATACAAGGGTTGGGGGCTTGAGTAAAAGAGTGCTGGCCTCACATGTCCAAGTTCCTGAGCTTAACCTCTCTCTCTATTACTGGGAAAAAAAAAGCTGGCAAAAGAATTACAAGAAAAAGAATTAAATAATTATAAACTAAATTCAGTCATTATCAGAAAAGTCAAACTAAAAACAGAAAAAGGACATTGTATCTTGGTCAATGTAGGCTCACTTTAGAAATAAAAATTTGGTTTAGTATTTTTTATTTATTTTTATTATTCATTTATTCACATGTGTGTACATTCTTTGGGTCATTTCTTCCCCCTGCCCCCCTCCCCTACCCTTTCCTCTCCTCTTTTTAAATTAGTATAACTTACCACATTAACAAAACAAAAAGAAGCATTTTATGAAACTCAACGTATACCCCATTGTTGGGAGGAAGGGAGGGTTGTCAAAGAAAATGAGGAACAGAAAGTTATGTTCTTGAGTTGAAAAAGGGTACTTAGAAAAACAAACAAGACCTGTAGCAAACATCTTAGCCAACAAAGGGGTGGGGAGCAAGTTCCCTTCCCAGAGCCAGATGAGAGAGTCTACTATGGTGTCCACCGTAAAAGTGATCCTACCCTTGAATTAAAGCTAAAGTGGGAAAAAGAAATAAAGGACCAAAACAAGGGAAAAGAAAAACAAAAATGTTCTAATTTGCATTCAGCAAGTACAGAATCAAAAATAACATACAAACAGTACTAGAATTACAAATTCAGCAAGGCCAGTATATAAAAATCTATTGTGATTCTACATACAGCAACAAACATCACAATTACAAAAGATACTAACTATACTGGCATCAAATAACTAGAAGAAAGTCTAAGGAAAGATGTGGAAGCCCCTTCTGCAGAAAGCCAGGAGCTCCAGGATGAAGTAGAAGACCTATGTGAATGGAGGCAACGGCCCTGGTCCAGAGCCTTCTTACTCCTTACTCCAAGATTTATCATGGGATCTGCTCAACCCTCTGGCCTCCACCCCATCCTTTCTCTTCTTAATTCATCTAAAATACTCTTGCCAGAGTAATCTTTCTAAAACACTAACTGAAAACCCTTTTGACCAAAACCCACAGCACATACTTTCTTACATGGAAACAAACAATGCAGCTACATTGATGAGCCAAGTTTTGCAAAACTTACTTTTCTTTGGTGCAAATTGGTATTTCCTGTTCTGTTTCATCTTACGGTCCTCATGGCCCACTCACGGCTTTGCCAGCCATGCATGGGTGCTGCCTGTGAGCGCGAATGGTACAGTCTCAGCCCACAGTATGGTTCTTTCCTGCTTTCTAGTACCACATTTCTTTTTTTTAAATATAATTTTATTAGCATATAATAGTTGTACATGGTGGATACATTGCAGTACCACATTTCTACTCCTTGGAGGCCAAGGTCAGGGCCAAATCCACCTCCTGTGCTTGGGGATAGGATGCCCCCACTGAGGCAGGCTTGATAGAAGTAGGAAAAGTTTGGGCTCAAGTAGATTGCCAGGGAATGGCCCAGACCACCCTCACCTGGCTGGGAACCACCCATGTTCCTCCCCACTCCTTCACTACTGGGTGGGAATCTCCAGGGTCTGTCTTCCCCATGAGTTAATGTAGGTTTTAAAAGCACCTGAAAAAGAAAAGCATGCTCTCTCTGCCAGTGGACTCCATCTGTGCCTGACCGTGCTCCCTTTGTATTTCCTTTCCTAACTTTTAATAAACCCCATTTACACCCATGTGTTCTACTTGGATTCTTCCATGATGTAATGCAAGAATGAAGGTCTTCTTAAAACACGGTTTTGCTGTCAATACCACTAGAGGTGCTGGGGAGCCTCTCCAGTTGCTCTTTCATGAAACTCAGGCTTTTGAACCTCAACTGATGATTTATTCATCTGATGTATTGTTCACCCCATACTACAACCACCCATGTGTTAGCGTCCAACTCCAAATGTATTGTCTTTGTGAAGTTTGCACCTGACACCCAACATGAGGAGAGGAGGCTCCCATGACAATGTGAGCCTGCAGCAGTCAGGGCATCTTCATGGATGTGCAGCTGTCTGTAAGCTTCTGCTGGGGGACAGAAGCCAGTACTGTGTTCCTACAATCCCCAGTGGATCAGGACCCAAACTTACACCCACTCCACTTGGAATCTACACTGACAGAGCAGCAACTAGTCAACATTGGGCAGCCTGAATGCTCACTCAGAACTATCACTGTGTTGGGCCCCAGGGAGGCTGGAGGGGTCAGAGACTCCAAAGTGCAGGGAATCCTCACGGGCTTTAGAAGCACCCGTTCTGGTCCAGCTCATCCCACAGCCAACGCCTGTGGGCTCACATCCCAGCCTGGAAGTGGGGGCTTGTGAAAGGAAGCCACCCTCTGTAACACAGAGTGTCTGCTATGGTTTGAATGAGGATCCTCCAAAGCTCCATATGTTAAAGCCTTGGTTGTGGTGTGGGCTGCTGGTGGGCCTTAGGTCATTGTGGGCACTCCTGTCTGTCTCTGTCTCTCCCCCTTCCAGATGTAATTGCTTGCTTGCTCTCACACATCCTTCACTTGCCTTCAGGTAATCAGTCAAGGCCTTACCAAGCCTGCACTCAGTGATCTGGACTCTGAACCTCCAAAACTGAGGGCTACAGAAACCTCATTTTCTTCCTAAGAAGCAACGTCTCAGGTTCAGGACTGTAATTCTGACTGACGTCATGGGTGAGGACCAGCTGGAGAGAACTGCTCTACAGGTGAAGGTCAAGGCAGTGCCCAGAGAAGGGAGGGAGCTAAGGACTAAGAGCCAGATGACAACTCTCATGCCCACCACACCACAGCAACTTCTTTCAGCTTCTTGATTCCATGCCTGAGCACTGCCCTTGGAAACCGAAAAATGGACTTCACTGAAGTTCAGCTAAAAGAGTCAGATCAGGGTGTCCTGTTCAAAAGGAGGCCTGTGCAGGTGGCATGTCCAAGCCTTTTTGCAAATGCTGATGACACCTCACTCAGGCACATGCACCCACGCACAAGTGGTGGCATCCTGTAGTAAGCAAGAGTGTGGACTCTATATTGGACATGGGACACAAACCAGACTCCCCAACTCACCAGCCACAGGACCTTGGGCCAGGGGTCATGCATCCCAATTCCTCATCATAAAATGAAGAGAACAACACTTGGGTCAAGTTGACAGGAGGAAGAAACAAGTTAGTGCAAGTAACACTTCCTGAAGGGATCTACTAACTGCCCTCCTTTGCTGGGTGCAGAACGCCCCTCCTGGCCTGCTGGCCTTGCCTCTCTTCTTCCAATAGCCTACACTATAGTCAGTACTGCCTCGATGAAACACCTTCAAAGCAAGTCGTTCCGAGCAACAGAGCCCAGCCAGGGCCGCATGTCCTGCTCCAGCAGCCTGCCTAGGCAGGACACTCAGGTCCCACATCCACAGTGGTCTCATGCTGGCCTCCACCTGAGTCTTCAGCCCAGCCTTTTCCTCCCTCACCCCACTCTTCTCCTCTCCCCTTCTTTTTCTTCCCAAGAAGGCAGCTCCCACTGCACTGTGTGACTGGCTCAGTCTTTACTGGAATGGAGACTCCACCGTGAACCTGAAAAGCACAGAGAAGCCCTGTCCTTCAGCAGCCACCCAGAAAAGTTAAGCTTCCTGTGAGAAGGGCTGGCCAGGCCTGGGGCATGGTAGCCCAGAATCAGAAGCAACCTGGGAAGTGCTGGGGCTGTTGCCTCTACTTCCCACAGACACTGAAACTCTGCTCAGTACTAAGGTTTCAGGAAACATTTGGTCTTGCCTCTTGTGTTTGTGGGGTAAAGTATGGACTTGGGAGTGAAGATAAGAATAATACCAGTTGGCCTACCCTATAAAGGCAAAAAGAATAGGAAGCATGCAGCTGAGAGCTTCAAACCACCAAATTCTGTAGAGACTAACCTCCCTCCAAGACCCTCAGTAAACCCACCTTATGTGTTAGAGACAGAATAAGAAGGGACTTCAGAGCAAAGCCCTAATAGGACAGAGGGCACCAGTCAAGACTCACAAATGGAACCAAGCTGATGAGGGCTGGCCCTCCTGGCTCCTTAGGGCCACAGCACATGGCACATCAGAAGTTGTGGCTTTCCAGCTGGGCTAGGAGTCCTTGGGGCCTTCTGCTAATGCACTTCTGTGAGCCCTCCTGAGACCACATGATAAAACGCTGTTCAGTCATTACCCAAAACAGACACCGGCACATACGTCCACATGGATCACCTAGGGATCCTGAGTTGGGAAGGGCTCCTTGCAGTTCCTCTCACAACCTGAGCAGGAAAGAGGCCAGGAAAGGGCATCTCCTTCCTGGAGAAAACCCTGAGTGGGCGCCCTGAACAGGGATGGAGAGGAGGAGGCACTGGTCCAGGGAAGAAAGGGGCAGAAGCTACTCATAGAGGGTAATGTTTCAAACTCAGCCACAGCATATCGCTTCCTCACGCTAACAGCAACAGGTGTGCACAGCAGGCAGTTCCCATCACCCTGCCTAGCTGGCAAATTCTGCAGCCAGCCTGAGCCAGGGCAACTGAGAATCTGATAAAGTGTGTGCACAAAGAGGCTTCCAGTCACCTGGGAACTATGAAGCGCTGCAGGAACAAAGTCCACCCCCAGAGGACACAACTTCCAGTGCACAGAAGCCCAAGCAAGTGCACAGGAACCTGGATACTACCCAATGTAGCCTCTGATCCCAGAACCCAAGGAGGAAACACTGTCTACCTCCACCCACAAGCGGAGGTCCCTGTAGCTGTCTGGAAGCCAGTATTGCCTACTGTGCAGTTTCCTGGGGAAGTCCTTATTTCCATGATGTGAGATAAAATTTTAGTGGAATTATAAAAACTATGGCTTAATGTCAGTGCCCACAAAACAGAGGAGCTTCAATCCCCCAGTACCACAAAAAGAAAGAAAGAAAAAGAAACAGAATAGCAATTTAGTTCTCTGCAGCTTCATAAAGGCGGAGTTGAAGATCAAACTAGAAACGGATCAGGATCTTCTGAAATCACCCTTTGCTTGACCAAGTCAGAGATGAGGTAATGCCATTATCTGGCAAGACTGATCTCCCCTGCACCAGAGCTCTGAGGAAGGCAGCCTGTCTCTGCACTCTCAAGCCAAATGTCAGGGTCCTCTGCCTCACCCTGCACCAAGGTCAGTGTGTGGGACCCTTTGGAGGCCAGACAACGAGTTCAGGGCTACAGCAGGACACCTGGGCGAGTCCCCGAGTGCTGAGGAATGAGTAACAAGCACTTCAGTGATTAGGCCCCAGCCCAGGAAGACAGACAGGCTGTGAGACCTGCCCAGAGACTATAAGGGACCAGACAGCTGGTGGGTAGATCCAGAATCCACCCATAACACCTGATGAGCAGTGCCCAATGAGCAGAACAGCCCAGCAGGTGTCTCTCTCCTCTAAGGTCCCTCCACCCAGAGATTGCCTAGAAGCACCTGTGCTCCACAAAAGATCCACATGGAGCCCTGTTGAAACCAAGATGCAAGCAGGCTCCTGCCTTAAACCTTAGCACAAACACAAAGGGCCTGCCTGCTGTGCTGGTCTGGAGATGGCAGTAGTAGGCACACACTGCCACAATTACTGCTAGAAAAATATAAAAACACTGTATTTCTTCACTGACACTGTGTAGACACACCAGCCTCTGCCCCAGAAGTCAGAGTAGATCCAAGGACAGAGCTGTCCCTATGGCCAAGTCCCGAAAATGCCCAACCTACTGCCTAGCAGACCCCCTTCCCTTCACACACAGGCAGGCTAACCCTCCAGGTCTAGGAAGCAACCCGCAGAGCAAAAGTATCCACACATAGCAAGTGTCGCGCTGAACACCTCTGCACCCCAGGATTCACCTCTGCTGCCCTCCCCATAGGGCAGTTCCGACACTGACACCCAGTGGTCTTACTAGGCCTGGACACCATTGATGGAAAGGGGGCAGGGGAAAGAAGTAAGGCCTGACAGCAGCTCAGAAGGAACCTTGTAAACAATGTATTCCAGAAGGGCACAGAAAAGGATAAAATTGGGCATGAGGGAGGGGCTGTGGAAGGCCTCAGAGTCAGAAGGTGTTAGCCACATCCCAAGAGGCAAGGCACCAAAAAGGGTGACAGTGCCATGCTGAGTCTTTGGGAGCAAGCGCAGGCTGCCTGGCTGCCTTGAAGCATCTAGTGTATCACAACTAGCTTCCTGGTGACTGCACTGTGACCTGTCTGTGGAGGTGAGCTTGATAAGGACAAGCCACTAAGTCCATTGCTTCCTCAGAGCCTGAGGAGTGATC